TGAACGCTGTTGACTTAACGTTATTACTGTATATAGAAATTAGGGTTGGGTATCGAGAATCGAGTATCGATTGGAACCGGGACTAACTTTTTGTTTTTCCCGGAATCGTTCAAAAGTTAAAATTTCAATTCCTAGTTTCGATATTCACAGTAGAAGAAAAAGAAGAAGAAGAAGAAACCGCTGAACAACACCAACGAAGAAGCGTCTACCGGAAGTGTTGGCATAACCGCGCGAGTCGAACATGAGTACCTTACGTCGGCGGTCCAAAGTGTGGCTTCACTTTTCTAAAAATTAACGAAATCTCGGCAAAATGCAAAATTTGTGACAAGTATTTGTGACAGAAGGAGTATTTCCTTCAGAAAGGCCGTTGGTTAGCAAGGTTAGCTAAACTTTTTTGACTCTGCCTCTTAAAAGAATCGAAATCGAGAATCGTTAGGAACCGGAATCGAAACAAGGAATCGGAATCGGAATCAGAATCGTTCAAATTCAAACGATACCCAACCCTAATAGAAATATAAGACCTACCTCAACCCTGTCCCTAAACTTAACCGTCACTGTCGCTTCCAGATTTAGTATATTTTGCTCGGACATTTGAAGGCGTGTGCAGACACGCGGAATGACGTGGACGTTAATGGCGTAGACATACACGCGGATAGCTCAAAATGCGTCGAGATAACACGCCACTTGACTCGAAATTGGCGTGTATGTTAACGCAAAAGTCATGATGTCAGTTGACAGTGCGTGTTATATTGACGCTAAAGGGTGCCACGTGCGTAGTATTTTGACGAAATGTCATATGGCGTCACCTATATGAGGGCAAAGGATGAGAATGTGTTGATTTAGCCCTGTGTTTCAGTCTTTTTCCTTGTCTTTAGTTGATGTTGCTTCATGTGTGGTTGTTCCGTTATCGAGTCTTGAGTTTATTTGTAAGTTTTTAGTTCTTTTAATAAAGTCCTACTTTCAATAAAGTCCTAGTAACAGTTTGCCGTTTTAATTGCTTTATATTTGCAAATGTCTTTTACTGTAGTGGCAGTTTATAGACCCCCTTCATCTGATATTTTATTCTGTAATCTTTAAAGAAATTGATTTGCGTAAAGAGTGTCTTGTTTTGGGGAATTTTAATCCTTATTGGTCTGATAAAATTACCCCTGATAAAGAAAATAACACAATTACATGATCTTATACAAATGGTTAAGGGCCCTATAAAATACAGCCACTTTGCAAAATTTATTAGATCTTATTTTTACCAACAAACCAGATTTACAGAATTACAAAGACTTTTAATTTTTTAACTGGATTGTCAGATCACAACTTAACACTTATCTCCAGGACATTAAATAAGTACTTATGCTTTGTCATAAGTACTCTGTTTTGTCAAGGTTGATTATGTAAAATTGTAGGATGTATATGCTTTATTGTATGTAATGATTTTTGCATGCAATGTGAAATGGTACTTTCCTGCCCAGGGACTGCATGAAATTTAGCTTTATAGCTAATTCTGGGAAGGTTTCTTTCTTTTTTTTCCCCCTTGTCAGAAAATAAATACATTTACAGGAACAGGGAAACAGAACCAAAACCAAAACCAAAACAAGAGAGCGAATTAGAACATACACATTACGAAATTGTTCATAAAGTGTATGAGTCACAAGGGTTGTCAGCTTATAAAGCAGTTGGAATCCTTTCATTGTTGCATGTGCTGTTCTGAAGCAGTTTGTACTTTGACAGATTCATAGTGACTTCTGAAAGGACGAAAAGAGACTGCAAGAACTGAGTAACTACACTTTTAAAAAAAGGTAAAATATTACTTTATACATATTAAATCAAAATAGGTTTCCTGCAAAGATAGTTGTTATAAACAATCAAAATTTGTATTAACTTTTATTAAAAGAGCTTATTGACCATTATTATAACAATCTGCTCTCTCTCATTTTGTGGTTGTGATTCATTAGCCTTCATTGCATGTAACATTTTTGGGAGCGGAAATTGAAAATCATCAACACATCACAGCAGACAAGAAAAACGAGTTCAAGAGTAAGACAAAAATCTTGGTCTCCTATATTTTGTAAAAAAAAGAAAAATGCATATTTTTACCTGATGTCCAGATATATATGCATATATACTCATTAAATATTAAAAATTGCAATGTGAAAAGAAATATTATTATTCATTGATTTGTAGGGACCTGTCCAGCACTTCTGGAACATCTGAGGTTCAAGATTAAAAGCTTTTCCTGAGACCGTACAACAGAAGAGCAGTCAAAACACCATCAGATTTACAGTACTTGTTGTGTGCTGCTGTGTAGACCTCAGAATATGGCTGAAGGTGATCCAATCGTTGGACTGCTTGACAGTGAGCGTGACAGAAAGCTTCTTATCTCCTGTCTTTCATTGAGCTTTTTTTTAATGCTTTTGGAAGCTTTGTTTGATAAAGATTTCTCATGTCCATGCGATGTTGAGCTGAATGCACAAATGGTCAACCTCATTTTTGCTGGACCTTTTGTTTTTGTTTTTGCTTTAATTTGTTATATTAGTTTCACCGATTTAAAGAGTAGATCTGAACTGCTCAAAACTTTTTTGCTTTGCCTGCTTCCACCTCTTTTGTGGATCACTCTTGTGTTCCTTGACGGTGATTATGTTGCCTGTAAAAAAACATACTGGAATGGACTGTATGTTTATGATGATCAGCAACAGTTCAAATGGTGTAAACCGATCAGTTCAGTCCCTGGGACAAATGACACCGAACTACGAGCTCTGACTCAGGGCTTTGTTATTGAGTCACAGGTGAGTTATCTTCAGAAATGTAATGAAAAACTTACAAAAAAACAATGAAACAAACAAAAAAATATGAATAGGATTACTACATTTAACTCTTTATTGCTTCCCTTTGAGTATTTCACTTTGGATAAACGTATCTGTTAAATGACCATTACTACATCTACAATTATGGCAATTGGTTTTGTAATTTCTTAATGTAATGATTTTGCTTCCCCCTCCCTATTTTTCAGATGACCGGTGTTAAGATGCTTCTTGGTTTGGGCCTTACAGCAATGGTCCCTGTATTTATTTTGATCCCGATAGTATTTTGTGGTGTATATTATGCACTGTCGAATGCTGAATGACGTGAAACGAAACCAACAATGAGTTGGGAGAAGAAATTTCCTCTGATACCTCTGATCATTGGAGGGGTATATTACCACACTTTAGATGATAAGTTATGGAAAATGTTAAGAAATTTTGTCATAAAGAAACATTTATCTGTGAAGACAAATAAAGTACCTGATTTCTGTGGTTATAAATTGTGACACAGTCCTTTTGGTTGTGATTTTATCTGCTGGTGTGAAAGACCAAACAGAAATATTATTGTCCTGTTTTAATTTGGTCACATAAAAACTTTTTATACATCAATAAGAACCAAAGTATTATGTATTTTCAAACTCCCCCTGGTGACCACTGGGGCGCTGTAATTAGATTCCTTGATCACATGGAATTTGTATAATTTGTATAAGCATAAAAACACCTGCACCAAGAGTTTTTTTTTTAGGTTGTATATGTATATGATCACTCACAGTCTTCGTGTAATCTTGAATGTTGTCTCTGTGGCCTCCTTGAAGATGTTCATATCTGTGGCAGACAACCCTAAAGACTGGCCATGGCACAGTCAAAGATTTGTAAAGGTGTAAATCACCCTTCAAGTGTAAGAAAAATTATCACAGTGTTAATTCATGTATTTTGAAGCTGCAGCTTAATGCTAATGCAAAATAAATAGCATCAGTATTCTTCAGACTATCATTTTTTCGCGCTTACACTTTTGGCACGGTTTTTTCAACAGCCTGTGAACAGCAATCTGCAAGCGAAAACAACAGAGGCGGGAACTGCAAAACAGATGAATTGCGAAAAATCAAACTTTGTGTAAAAAAAAAAAAAACTGTTGCAAATACAATGGGGCCAAAAAGTATTTAGTCAGCCACTGATTGTGCAAGTTCTCCTACTTAGAATAATGAGGTCTGTAATTTTCATATATTTTCATAATAGGTATTTATGGTGGAAAATCAGCATTTGGTCACCCACAAACCAGCAAGATGTCTGGCTCTCACAGACCTGTAACTTCTTCTTTAAGAAGCTCTTCTGTCCTCCACTCGTTACCTGTATTATTGGCACCTGTTTGACGCTGTTATCTGTGTAAAAGACACCTGTCCACATCCTCAAACAGTCACACTCCAAACTCAACCATTCCCCCATTGAACATAATAGAAAAAATATTTAAAAAAATATATATTTTTTTATTTTCTTTAAAGCTGTATTTCATTTTAGAGTCAAGCCTAGGCCTCATTAAAGCAATTCTTGAAATGAAATGGATGCCATCTGGTGGACAAACTGAGCATTTTAAAAATGCAAAACACATGTATAATCTGAATTTTTTTTTTGTGTTTGTGTATAAAGGTGTGTTTGTGTCTCTGTGTGTGTGTGTGTGTGTGTGTGTGTGTCTGTTTTGCACTCTTGATGTTTTATAGATTCACCCCTTCACTGTTGTGTGCTTTTTTTCAAGATCGTTGCTGATTTGTAGATTGTACGCACACAAAAAAACTCAGTATTTTCACATTTTTGTCAATTTTCCATTCATTTTCCATTCGGGTCCATCTGGACCCGAACACCCCAAGTATGACTATTTTTTTTACAACCACTTGGACTATTCACATCCTGTCCCCAATTTTTTTTTTTTTTTTTTTGGGGGGGGCGTTCAAATACCAAATACCAACAAAGTCACCAAATTTAGGACCATTCCGAGGAAGCTGTGATTTAAAAAAAAATATATTTATATATATATATTTTAATTCTTTGGGTCCATTTGGGCCGAACAACCCCAGAGGGTTAATGGACACTTTTTAAAATTTCTGCACAGAACAGAGCAAGGCGAGCATTTGTGCTTATAAAACGTAAACTTTTTTATTTCGTTTCAATAGATATTTTTGATTATTTTTTCTTTAGTTAGAGTTTTTGAGATGCAAGTCAATCCAGCAGAAGAGTTTAATGGTAGAGAAGTTTTATTGAGGATTACAGACAGGTGTAAAAACTTCTGTATTTTTCTTCCCTCGTCTAGTTTTGCTCATTCACTACTCCCATTAAAAGTTTTTTTAATGCTCAAAAAGTGTTAACAGACTAGTCGAATCTGCACATGAAAAGTAGAATTACACACAGAGACATGAAGAAACGATTCATTTAAAGAAATTAGAGTTATTTTTAACATTATGCTCATTAAATGATGAGAGAGAGTGACTTTACTCTCTTTACTCTAACAACTGTGTGCTGTTCTTCAAAAGAAAAAAAAAACGTTGTTCCCCTGATTCTTGCTCAAATATAATTATGCATAAATCTGTTGTGTTCATGTTCACAGATGTGCTTCATTACAGATTTCTCAAACTTGAAAAACAAACAAAGAAAGAAAATAAGAAGTGAACAAATCATTAGGAAAACATTGTAGAGCTCTGTTCAGTTTGTTTTCTTTATATGCTAATTAATTGTGCCTTCATCATAATGTACAGGCCAGCCTTTCTCACAGCCCAACACAACGTAACGAGTCGACCTCTTCCCTCTATAGGCACATCTTGGGGGTCTCGACCCACGTTTCAATTTGCATGTGATCACAGGAAACTGCTGTCCGCTCTTAAACAGGTCACCACCCTGTGGACGTCCTCCTGTGCCACAAACCGCTTTAATTTCATTTGAATTTGCTTGTATGAAGGTGTTGACATCTTTGCAGACACCGTTAGGTCCAGTAATGCCATTATTCATTTTACGGTCACACTTCTGCTCACTCATATCAGGACCGAAATGCTGTTTGAGGAATTTTAGATAACGGGGCTCTACATCTGGTGGTGGTTGTGGATCAGCATGAGTGGAGAACGACACACACACGACCAGCAGCAGAATCACAGCAGACTGATGAACCTCCATGACCTGCTGATCAACACACACACATCAACACACCTTTACTGACATTATTCTTTATAAAGCAGTTTGGTTGTAATTCATTAAGAACATAGGCTACTCAATAAAATAAATGATTGGACCCTTCTTTTGTTTTTACTTGTATAGTTTAACCCAGCTGTGGCGGTCCCTTTGTTTTTCTGTATTAAATATTTTATACTTCCCATAAAGTTCTGAATTTCTTACCTTGTTGTTCTGGGTAAATGAATATCTTGCTCTTCTTTTGCCTGAAGGCTTCACAATATCAACAATTCCAGAATGAACAAACCGAAACTTGCAAGCACAAGTTTAGACTTCAGTGTTGTCCGTCAGTATCGCTGGAGTTTTTATTGCAAACCTCACGTGACCTTTAAACACTGGACAGTGCAAACACGACCTTGACCAAGTCATTCAGTTGACGGGAATTTCATCGCCCTTATTTGCTACTTGCAAATATTCAAAAAGGAAAACATTGATGTTTCAAAGTCTAGTTGATATGAGATCCTTCATGTATATATGATCTAAAATATGTGTTGTGATTCACACTGTTGATTGGATTGTATTTATTCCATCATCACTGTCCTTATCATTGCTTGGGACATAAAGGTGATTTGCACGTATTCAGTCATCAAAGATTTAATTATTGTTGTGCATAAAAATATACTTATTACACACCTCGGGGCCTTAGCGACCCTATACGATTTTAGGTTTATGGTCACCACCTCAAAGAGCATGCGCATGAAGTCCAAATTATACATGATTTAATGACTCGTAAATACACATTGATGGCCTAAGACACGAAACGAGCGGTTTGTGTGAGAAAACGAAGCGCCTGCCCTCAGATCACTTGGACGTGGCTGTGATCACAAGAGGTAAAACGATATAAACACTGTTCGTTTTCTCACACAAAGCGCTCGTTTCGTGTCTTAGGCCATCAATGTGTACTTACATTTACGAGTCATTAAATCATGTTTAATTTGGATTTCTCTGTGCATGCTCTTTGAGGTGGACCCCCTTAGCCTCCAGTGTATGACTGATAGACAACAACGGTTTGACCTAAAAATATCAAAATTGAAAATACTGTAAACAAAGACACCTACATCTTGCATGCCCTTGAGGTAAGCTAAAACTTATCAAAAATAATTTCAAAGTGAACTATCCCTTTAAAAGGTTCAAGGTCTAATGATTAGACATGCTAAGCTACAAAAAAATGTAGTTCTGAAATTAGATGTAGAACATGGTAAAATAAAATGCATATTTTAAACATTTTTTTCTACAGTGGTGTGATTTACCCACTCGCTCTTAAAGGTACTATATTTTTTAGCGCCCTCTATCGGTGATGTTTCAGATTGCAATCAATTTTTACGAGCACTCACGGTACACGGCAACACTGAGACTTTCAACACACCAGAGAAAGCATCACACAACATGCTGGAAACTCATATAAAGTCCCACTGTAACGTTACAATAATAGGCTACTTTTATCAGCTTGACGTTTGAACTAATGCTCCATGCTCACACAACATTACATTTGTGGTGTTTTCTACATAAGGCATTTCACTAACTATTTGTGTATCTTTCACAATCAGCAATGTCAACATAGGTGAAAGTATAATATGATAACGAAAACGGTAAGTGAACTAGACTGATTTCAGTGTAACACTAAGATCGTAGGAAGTAACTTGTCTCAGGAGAGCGCATGCACATCACATCTGATGGATTTCGCAGAAAATCCGACCCGGTGACTTCACGTAGAAATAGGAATACTGACCTACAGAGGTGATAGCAAAACCCGACAAGTGGATCACTGTAATGTGTGATTACAACCCCTTCAAACACAGGCAATAAAAAATTATACATTTAAGAGGAAAAGGTCCATATAGCAGCTTTAATGCTAAGCCATAAAACATTTCTGTTCATAATTGTTTGTTTATCAAAGATTTTTTTTTTTTTATCTCCATGTGTGGACGTGAAAAAGAAAGGACATGTCTAGGTAATATGTATCCTAGATTCACTTTATCCTTGCGTCAGACTGCAATGAACTGGAGCCAAGGGGAATATTTGAGAACTGAGCTTGTTTGTTGTTGGTAGTTTACCGACCTGTTAAACACACATAGACAGTGAATGTGCACATACATTTTTGATCCTACTTTAATGGAAATAATGTAAGCATGGCATGCAGAAGTAGTAGTTACATACATGCATTCGAAAGAAACTGCGTGTCAAAAATGTCTCATACAGTATTTGTATTTATACAGTAATGATATGGAGCTGTAGATTTGTATGACAGCTTACTTATAGATTCCAAATTGCCAAAACAGAGATATAAGAGACAAATACCTCTCAATATCTTATTCACGTGAATGTCAATTCTTCACTCATGGGGTGAGTCAGATTATGAGATGAATGAGATACATAAATGAGATATACCACTAAATGTATTATATTTACAGATTGATAGGAGCTCTGAGTTATCTTGAAAATCAGGAACACGTTTCTCCCTCTCTCGTGAAGATTTGAGAGATCAGAGATGATTCATTGTAATATCTCCCAGATGTATATTCAATCACATGACAAAAAATATAAAATATAAAAGAACTAATCAGCACCTCATAAAACATATCTGAATTCGACAGATATTCATTGAGACTCATTTTTGCACATTTTAACAATGGCGATAAAGATATATCTTCCAAACATATGAAGACATATGATTTATTTGCTATAAAAATGGCATTGTTTTATACACACATTTGTGTTTAATTTGTACTGTAACATTCCTCCTGACAACCAAGTATCTTCATAAATACTCTAATGCAACAACTTTAAAATAAATAAATTAATATGAATAATTAGCACTAAGATAATCAAGGCAGGTTTTGGTTCTAGTTTTGATTTCAAATGAAATGTATGTGTCTCTTAATTTATCATTTAAATCACTAAAATAAACATACATCAGATTAGTTTTTTAATGTCATATTTAAATTGGTAATAAGTGAAATTTGACTGTTATTGGTACTGACTACACTCTAAAAAATGCTGGGTTGTTTCAACTCAAATTTGGGTCAAATATGGCCAAACCCAAATGTTGGGTTAAAAAATGCAATTAAAGTTGAAAATGAAAGTTGAAGTTGGGTTAAAATTTGAAATTATGTTTTTAACCCAACATTTGGGTTTGTCCACATTTTACCCAAATTTGGGTTCAAACAACCCAGCATTGTTTAGAGTGTAATTGAGGTCCTGGAATCGAGACGAGAGCGATGAGAGTTCAGCTGATCTTCTCTTCATCATTCAGAAACTCTTTCAAGGAAAGTATCAAAATTATAATGTTACTTTGTTTTATTGGCTGCCTCGGTCCGAATCTGATCGTAATCCTCCTTTTCAAAGTACTGTCAGTCAGGCCACGTGGTGAGTTATCACAAGCCATTATCCTGGGAAAACAAAGATTCACAGATGGTTAAACATATCATGAAAAATGTGTTGTATTATTATTTAGGAGTTATTTGTGTTTTTAATGATTTTAATAATAAGTAAAATGATTATTACATATCAAAACCACTGTTCTTTTATGCAGTGTACATCTCTTATATCTTTTTAAATCGGCTGTATGTTATACTTACGTTCAGTGGTACTGCTATATGTCTCTGTCTGCGACGGTAGTAAATCACACCCGCGGCAGCAGAATAAACCAGCAGAACAGCAAAAACAACACCAGCAACAACTATTCCTGCGGCAGCTTCTGAAGACAGACCTGACCCTGGAACAGCTACAGAGAAACAGACATTATTAATGATAATCTATCCAGGACTTAATATTTTTACTTTAGACTCTTCTATATTGATCATCAGCTGAATTAGCAGCATTCACTGGAAAACTAATATTATGCATTTGTCAAAGTATTTAGTTAATACACTAGTCAAAGTGTTACTTGCTCAACATTGATTTGATTTAAAAATATTAACCTTTTTTTTTCATTCCTCAAAGGAAAATGCAATGATTAACTTGTATTCTCACCAATGACAGTAAGATTGAATCTCTTCACTGTAGTGATGCTGAAGCTGTTGTTAATGTTGATCTGTAGTTTATATTCTCCAGAGTGTGTGTTTGTGGTGTGTGTGATGGTCAGAGATCCGGTCTGATGATCCAGCTTCAGTCTGTCTCTGAATCTCTCTTTACACTGATCATCTGTACAGATCTGACTCTGATCTCCAGTGATTTCAGCGATGAGAATATCATTATAATACCATTTAATCTCTTCTTGTTGGTTTGTTTGAACACCAGTGTTTAGAGTGACTGAATCTCCCTCCAGCACTGACACTGACTCTGTATCAACAGCAGAAGCTCCTGAAGAAGAAACAGAAGCTAAATGCAATTATACAATACGGCTGTGAAAATGTATATATAATTTATGTAAAATATCTTATTCAGGACAGTAGGCTACTAATTAAAAAACATGCATTTACTGATACCTCTTATTTTGTTAAAATAACATTTTGCAGATTCTACAAGTGGTATGTAAACTTTTGATCACTACTGTAAATGCACAGCGTAATTAAGTTTTTTTCCCCTATATTTACGCATTTTATAGACTCATTATAAATATTACAGATTAATATTACAAATGCCCCTCACCGCATTAAGACACGGATAATAGGCCTGGGTGGCGTGATGATCTACTAAATGCTAAATTATTGTTTTCTTACTGTTTGAATCTCAGATGTAAATGTGTGTTTAGGCTATATATTTAATTAATTATAGGCAGAACCTTTTGTCCAAAGCAATTTAGACTACATTAAATTCTAGCTTTACTCAGTTTATGCACTGATGCATAGAGAATACCAACATTTACTGAGGGTTTGATGCCATATGTTACGTATTTACCTATACCAAGTTATAAACAAGTTTACAAGGACCCGTAACGGCACTTAATATGATCTTGGATGATTCCTTTGTGAATTCTGTGACAGTGTTAGGCTGTTGTTAGTAATTGTCATACAACTTACCATGACATAATCTTAATTCTGAACCCTATAATAATCCTGCTAATAACTTCAGCGCCTAATATGATCACAGAAATCCAAAAAATGCAAAACCAGAAAATATATTATAACAAATCTTAGTCTTACCGTGGAGAAGTAAAATGAAGATCACCGGGAGCAAATTACAGAGAAGCAACATTTTGCCCACAAAAAATTGAATGGCTATTCATAAAAGTGTGCTGCTTTAACGGCGTACTTGTAAAACTAGTTAGTGAATCCTGACAGCCTGAATGAAAGGTAAGCTATGAACGTTCTA